CTATTTTTCAATTTCAAATTCCTCATTCCCGAACCTCAATTTGTCAATGTGCGGATCAGGCCGAGCCTAGGGCGCATCAGAGCTGATGCGCCCGCAGAACGCAGCCTTGATGTTGCCGAACAGCATTGATAGCTGGAAACGCGGGTACGGGACTGGCGTCATTTATCTGGTGGCTCGAGTCGAACGGCTATGAAAGAGGGAACCTTGGAGAATGCGTGCCTTGACACTGACCACCTTGCCTGACATTAGACCCATGCATGCCGGAAATGCAATGCCTGCCTGACATTAGTTTCATGCGTGGCGTCCCTGTAAGTTCGAAAGTCTTAAGGGAATGGCTCCGGCATGCACTCCAAATGTCTGATTCTAAGTAGACTAAATAGAAATCAGGGACCTAGCGATTATTATCAGGTTAGCCTAACACATTCAGGGACCTATCAGGTTATCCCGACACATTCAGTTAACAAATGGCAGCAAATCCCAGAGTGCGGTTACTCAGCTCGCCTAGACGACCCGAAAGGTCCTCTTACTTTCGAGACATAATAGTGCACCACTAGGGAGCCGTGTCTCAACGGAAATCCCAGAGTGCGGTTACTCAGCTCGCCTAGACGACCCGAAATGTCCTCTTACTTTCGAGACATAATAGTGCACCACTAGGGAGCCGTGTCTCAACGGAAATCCCAGAGTGCGGTTACTCAGCTCGCCTAGACGACCCGAAATGTCCTCTTACTTCCGAAACATTATAATGTATCACTAGGGAGCCGGATAGTCCCCGTCTCTCGCGCGCGATAGTAATTGCGGTTGTCTATCAGTTACGGAGTGTAGCGGATGGAATGAGCACATCCCGCTCGTCACGGCTGTAGCGCGAGCGAACGCGATTCTTCACACATTACGGCTCTTCACATCCCTCTGTCAGTACTCTGTACCGAGTAAGAAACATAACTATGTCTCTGATTATGAACCGCGCCTTCCTCACTGCTGCATCAAACTGCTACCCTCGTTTCCCCTCCACGTCGCTCTCTTTTTCCCTCCCCGTCGCCTTCCCTTTTCATCCCTCTACCATCAACCGCCGTTAGCATGTCGTCCTAGCGCTCACACGCTCGATAGCCTTTGACACGCAATTCTGTTTGAAAAATAGAATCTACCTTCCAAAAACCTCATAAATAGCTCATATCGCCTTTGACCTTCCAGCTACGCGACCCTGCTAGGAAAATACCTTGGGGAAACCTCAAAGGTAGCCCTTGATCCTGCAGCCACGGGTCTACCTTCGGCACACGGTCAACGCATATAGTCCTGGATCCGCGGGACCCTGCTAAGCAACTTAGATACCTTCGGGAATACTCACAGTCAGTGCATATAGTTCTGGATCGTACATCTGTGGATGCACGTGGATGTAGGATCCAGGGCTATATGCGTTGACTGTGAGTCTCTGAAAATCAGGTCCTGCTAGAGCCAATCCGTACCCTCCGATTGATCAGAGGTCACGCTCCCCCATCCCACTCGCTCTGTTCTTCTGTCCTACACTCTGCCTGTTTCTCGCTCCTCCGATTTCTCACTCCCTACGTTCTTGCTTTTCCCCTCTACGTTCTCCACATATTTACCCTCTGTTTCCACACACCCCTTCCAATTTTCCCCCTCCCTTCACTCTGCCCCAGCCACACAGATGGTGCTGAACGTGGGGCATGACGGCGTGCATGGTGGTGCCTCGTCCCTCATTGCTCGCCTGGAGGTGAGAAAAGGGGAGAGCAAGAGTGTTAAGGGAGTCTTGGAGATCGCAAGCAGTGTCTGCCCCGGCCACACAGATGGTGCTGAATGTGGGGCATGATGGCGTGCACGGTGGCGCTTCCTCCCTCATTGCCCGCCTGGAGGTGCGAGAAAATAAATTAAAAATGAGAAAAATTCCTCAAATTCTTAACATGCCGCCTCTAAATATTTCCAGTCAGGATTGTTCGACAAGTTTTCTGCCTTCCCCACGTATGCATTCCATCACGCTAATGCCCACAGCTTTGAAAGTTTATCGATTCGTGTTTCCCTGTCCCAATCTTTTTGCCCCTTTTTTGTTTTCAACTTTTCTGTTCTTTCCGCCAGCACCTTCTCTGCGCAGCTGATTCCTCTCCGATAGTCTTGCTGTGCTTCCTTCCTGGTCGTGCCACGACTCATGCCACGGACAACACATCTGCTTCTGCATGCCCAGCTGCTGCTGCCACTGCTGCAGCAGCTGCAGCAGCAGACTGTCGGTTGGCTCTGGCAACGCAGGGTCGACTGCTGCCTCTGCGCGTCAGGCAGCTGGCCTCCCATGTCATGATCGAGTGAGTTGCATGGCCAAGGCAAAGGCAGCTACTGCTTCTGAGTGGAAAGGCAGCTGGACTGTTTGATCCAGTGATTGACAGGGCGGAGCGGAAGAAGGCACAGCCAGCTAAGACAGAACAAGTCCGTTCTTGTACTTCACACAGGATTTTGCTGTTTTTTTAGTCGACTTGAAAACCATGTGCCATTCAGTATGACTCTGTTCCTGAAGTGTCCCCCTCCCCCTTTCCTTCCTCCCTGGCCACTGTTCCCCCTCTCTCATATACCCGTCACCCATCCCTCCTCATAAACCTCCCCGTCCCGCAACTTTTCCCCTTTCAGGTACCGGAGGAGGGAGCTGAGGCGGTGGGACGAGGGAGTGCAAGCAAGTGAAGCAAAAGCTAGGGCCGAGAGGGAAAAGGAGAGGCAGAGACAGAATGAGGACGCAGCAAAGGTTGCTCGGAATTGCGATATGAGCTGCTACGATGTTGCAAGTCTAAACAGCATACCCGGTATTAGGAATGCCATTGTTGGAATACGAATCCGACAGTTGACAATAAAACGAATGCGGAAATGGAGCACAGATAGACGATATACATGCTGAAATCTTGTGATTTTTAATCCCATACCAACCGCCATGCTAACACATACGTCCATCCCTAAGTACTAAGAGGTTAGTCATCAGTGTGTTGGCGACATCCATTAGGTCGAAAATGATACACATTTCTCATTATTTGGTTGCACATGCCGCAAAAGCGTGTGCGACAAATCCAGCAATGCATGTCGTTATTCCCCCCCTCCTGCAAAGAAATTAAAGGTTGCAAGAAACACTAACAGGGTAAGCTTAGGCACAATTTATGATACCACCGCCACACCAGACACATAACCTAAAAACTACCTTGCAGCCTGAACCGTCCTTGTCACACACTAACCTTATAGTTGAATTGGCGGCAAGTGGGGCAGCGTCTCACAAGCAGTGGCCTGCCATCCGCCCTGGGGGGGGGCGCGGCTCGATGGTTGTGGCGCCGCCGTCCTTCAGCCATGGCTGCCATTTGCATCTGCTCTATCTCCGCAGCCTCAAACAACACACACTTGCCCTCCCTGGTGGTGCAAGGTTGCAAGGGGAAAATAGGAGAACAAAGAGCATGAGGGTATGTGACTTGCATCTCCCACTGCTCTATCTCCGCCGCCTCAAACAACACACACTTGCCTTCCCTGGTGGTGCAAGGTTGCAAGGGCAAAATAGGGGGAAAGAGAGCACGAGGGATCATGATTCGAACCTCCCAGTGCTCTATCTCCGCTGGCTCAAACAACACACACGTGCTGTTGCTGGTGATGCAAAGTTGCAGGAGAAGGATTGGGAAAGGAGAGAAAGCAGGGGACGGAGGATTGGAATGTTGGGTGTTGGCTAGCAGGGCAATGGGAAAGGGGATGCTTGGGTGCATGAAGCTGTACCAATACATGGTCCCATGCATCCCCTTCCCCTTTCTTGAGGCGCCTAATTTTTTTTGAGGCGCCGCAAAAATCGTCTCAAAAAATTTGAGGCGCCTCAAAAATGGGAAACGGGATGCTTGGGTGCATGACACTGTTCCAATACATGGGCCCATGCATCCCCTTCCCCTTTCGCAACAGGTTAAAGCGTACCAAAATTGGTACGGTTTCACCAATATTCTTTCAGACTTGTACGTGAAGTAGTTACATATAAGTGGTAACACATAAAGTGGTTACACAAGTAGTAACATACGTGAAGTGGTCGTAACCATCGATGCGCTCGTGGAAGCGGTAGCAGAAGAAGGTGTTGCAGGTGGGGCGATGGGGATGGGTTAATATACGTGACGTGGTAACAAGTGGTAACAAGCAGTAACATAGTGGTAACATACGTGAAGTGGCTGTAACCATCGATGCGTTCGTGGCAGCGGTAGCAGAAGAAGGTGTTGCAGGTGGGGCAGACCATTTTGTTGCACCCCCCGCTCTTGCTGATGGCCATGCTGCACACGGGGCACTGCACACTCGACTCCTCCACAACCCTGACCATGAGGGGGAGAGGATAGGAACAGTGTGTGGGTGAATGTGAGTGTGAGTTTGGGTGAGTGAGAGAGTGCATGACAAGGTAGGGCAGACCATCTTGTTGCACCCCTCGCTCTTGCTGATGGCCGTGCTGCACATGGGGCACTGCACACTCGACTCCTCCAGCAGCCTGAAGGAAGGAAGAGAGAAAGAAGTCGAACATGTGTGAGGAGCACGATTGTGAGGCGCCCCAAAAACAGACATGTGTGAGGAACACCCCTCGCTCTTGCTGATCGCCGTGCTTCACATGGGGCATGCCACACTCGACTCCTCCACCGGCTTAAAGGACGAGAGGGGTATGCAAATAAGAGAAATTTCGGCCTTTGTGAGTCGTTGGTGCTCACAACACTGTGCTGTGCTGCACATGGGGCATGCCACACTCGACTCCTCCACAACCCTGACCAAAAGAAAGGGGGGAGAAGACAAGCAGTGCGAGGGTGAGAGTGTGAGTACAGGTGAGAGTCGCTGAGTGAGGTGACTTTTGAGTCGACTCAAAAGTCGCCAAGCAGTGCGAGGGTGAGAGTGTGAGTACAGGCGAGAGTCGCTGAGTGAGTGCATGATAAGGTGGGGCAGAACAACTTGTCGCAACCTCGTGCTTGCGAGGCCAAAGGTGTCAACCTGAAACTAGGAACTCACTTGAAGTTGATGACTCACTTGCGGCTAAGCACTTGCTGCTCCAAATCATTTTGCTTCCACAACTCCTCCTCCGCCAAAGATCGCTCCTGCTTCCGCACCTGAAACACAAGAGGGGACAACAAGCATAGGGAAGTGAGGAGGGGCGCAGGGCAAGCCTTTCACTTGAGGCTAAGCACTTGTTGCTCCAGGTCCTTTTGCTTCCTCAACTCCTCCTCTGCCAAAGATCGCTCGTGCTTCCGCAACTGAGGAGTTGAGAATCACAAGAGGGGACAACAAGCAGAGAGAAGAAACTCAACTCTCCCAGTCTTTGAAGGACGATCTCTCTAGCGAATCCCATCACCAGGTCTCTAAACCCTGAGAATTCACCCCATGCTGATGCACCCGATTTTTGAGGCGCCTAAAATTTTTTGAGACGATTTTTTAGGCGCCTCAAAAGTCGTCTCTAAACCCCGAGAAGTCACCCCATACTGACGCACCTTCATGAGTTTGAGTGCAAGTTCAGGAGTGATGCAGGTCCTGCCTCGGTGAAAGGCCTCGCGGCACATCCCGCAGAAGGAGAAGAAGCACCCGGGACACAGCGCGTGGTGGTCAGAAGGGTTCTCTACAGCCGGCTGGGAGCAGCGCGGGCAGAAGGCAATGTCTGGCATGGCGTCTAGCGAGCGCTGCAGGGTGAGTTGATCCCACCGGGAGAAGAGGTCAGCAGGGAGGAGTGTGCGCAGGAGATCTGTGGGGTCGGGACATGGAGGGGGGAGGGAGGACAGTGGGGAAAGCGCGGGCAGAAGGCAATGTCGGGCATGGCGTCTAGAAAGCACTGCAGAGTGAGAGTGAGCTGCTCCCAACGGGAGAAGAGGAAAGCAGGAAGCAGAGAGCGCAAGCGATCTTTGAACAGATCAGGGAGGAAGGGAACAGGAAATGATATGGGTGCACCGGGTGAACTGCACACCCCACACGCGCACACACTCACTCCGGCCCGTGGAGGAGGGGAAAGCACAGACAGGCCCACTGGACTGGAAAAGAGGGAGGCCCGTAAGCACACACCAGCCGTAGAAGAGGGGATTTGGTGACTATACCCACTGCAGGAGGGGGAAGTCTGTAGGCATACCCACCATAGGAGAGTGGAACGCGGCACTTGGTGTCAGGGCACTTGAGCGCCTGCAGGTTCCCCTCAGCCACGTGTGCCTCTGCAAACAAACGCCCTCATGCAACTAGGGACGAGTTTGTTGGCAGGCTTACCATAGGAAAGAGGAGCGCGGCACTTGGTGTCAGGGCACTTGAGCGCCTGCAGGTTCCCCTCAGCCACATGCGCCTCTGCAAACGTCCTCATGCACGCCATGCAGAATGCATGTGTGCACGCGGCACGCACGCACTCGGAGCCGGGCTTCTCAGAGAAGCAGATGGCGCACGCGTGGAGCGACGCTCTGAACACACGGTCGCCCATCTCCTTGCTCCACCGCTTGAGGAGAGCTAGGTCGTCCTGTAGAGACATGCCCTCGTACACTGCCCTGCAGTAACCCCCTACGTCTGCACTCACACCCACACCCATCCCTGCATCTTGGCATGAGCATGAGAATGTGGCTGCAGCAGCTGCACCTGCTACTGATGCTTCACCCCCTCGTGCTTCTCCTCCTCCAGTCGCCGATCCGCCCCATCCCTCCCCACCCGTAAGCCTGAGGTCCTGGCCAATCCCGAGGCATCCCAGTGTTTCCTCGCCAAGCCATGCTGCCCACGTGTACAGCACGACCAGGCCACTCTGCTGCTGCCACGTGGCGTCCAGCTGGGCGCAGAGGCGCGCCAGCTGGGCGTGGGAGAGCCAGGAGGAGAAGAGGGCGAAGAGAGGCGGGGAGGCGGAGGGGTAGGTGTGGGGGAGGAGAGCGAGGATTCGGAGTGGGGGGAGATGCGAGATGAGGAAGGGGCGAGGGAGAGGGGAGTGGGGAGAAGCGGTGGTGGTGGTGATGGTGGTGGTGGTGGTGAAGGGGGCGGCAGAAGAGGTAGAGGAGGAGGAAGAATTGGCAGTAGGAGGTGAAGGGACTACGAGCAGTGGCGAGGGAATGGTGATGCGGATGTCAATCTGAACGGGGAGGAGGGAAGGAGGAAACAAAAACAGAAGGTTAGAAGCGTTTTGCCGCAGCAAGTGAAAGGAAGAAAAAGAAAAAGAGAAGAAAATAAAACAAAAGAAAAGAAAAAGCACTCCTGCAAGTTGCATGTCTCAAAACAAAGTTTTTGTTGTTATTTTTGTTTTTCTTATTTTTTCTTCAACCTCAACAACAATTTTTTGTACCACGAAACAGCTACAGGCCGCGGTGATTGGAATGATTCGAAAAACCCAAGTCATTCTCGTACCATGAAACAATTGTAAGGCGAGGTTGTGAAACTGGAGGCGGCCGCTTCTTGCGAAGCAGAGGGGGAGGTGGGTGAGGAGGGGGAGGAGGAGGAGGATGCTAGCCAAATGGGCTCAAAGTCAGAGTCGAAAATGGACTGCAGAGCCTCGACCTGGTGTGGGGCATGGATTCGTGGATGTGAGAATTGGTGGATGGTTGTGTGAGAGGTTGTCGAATGGATGGTTGTCGATTCATAGAACGGCATTGCAAAGTGAGGCCAAGGAGAGTGCTGAGATTGCAAAAATGTCAGCTTTATTGCGCTGTTTCGCTTCAGCCTCATCTCACCCCTCTCAGCCTCATCTCACCTCCTCCTTTTGCTCCTCCAGGCATTGCTGCTTCTCGCCTTCAATCAGGCCCTTCCCCGCCGCCTCGTCAATCTGCCTGGCTCGATCACACATGCGCCTGAGCCGCTCTTCGAATCCCATCGCTGGCATTTTCTGGTTGGCGGCGTTAGAACCGGGAACAGTTGGCGGAGGAGCAGCAAGTGTTCCCGTGCTCATTGTCGCCTTATTGCACAAATGCGATAGCTTGCGAACGCTGGGACGTCCCAAAACTCGATTATTGTACAAGGCGATCGCTAACTAATCCGAGCCGTTAGGAAAGGCGACGGAATCAAGAGAATATGTACAAGGGTGCGCAATGTTCTTGACTTGACTGTGTCTCTGTTGTAAATGAGATCGTCAACACAAGTTGACAAACTTCGCACCTTCCACGACTGGCATCGTGACTAAATGCTACGACTTTCGCACTTGCAAACTTCCCGGACACGTTACGAAAACGTCGCTCTAACTTGGGATCTTCTATCAGACGGCGGTGCGACAGGCATATTGTTTGCGCTTTGGGTGTTATTGCTAATGAGGAAAGCTCATGTTACCAGACTGCAACCGACATTGCTGCCAACTGTATCTTCAATGCTCGAAATTCATACACTTGACCATGTAAGAATGAACGTTACAAAAAGCTACGGCAGCTTCGCCGTCAACAATACGGCAGTCGGTAAACGGTACGTCGGCGCAGCACAGAACCTACAAGAAATGCACAGTCGTATTTCTTCTCTTCAGTGGGACCTAAGAGGGAAGCAGAAAGAGAACTGTGATGAGGGAATGGGGAATGCTGGACAAATTGGCTGAGCGTGAAGCCTTGAAAAGGCAGACCATGGCGAACACAGCAGACCACAGCCAAAGAAGCCCCGGAATGTCAGGGAAACGTGTCCCACAAGAATTAGCCGCCCCAACAAGCAGCAAGTACGCTACTGATTTGATAGAAACCCGCTACTGGTACCAGCATCTTTGGGTTGAAGATTTTACTTCAAGCAGTAAAGCGGATGGCGTGTACGAACTTCCATGACTGGGTGATGGTGCCGGCGGGTAGAGTCACGTGCACGGCAAGGTCAGCGTGTTCATTTCTGGTCATTTAATACGGTTCTGCTGGGTTCCTCAAGCGGAGACACGGTTTCCAGGCGTTACAGCTCAGGAGCACTATCCACAGAACAAAAACCCTGCCATGGGGATCGAAAACGAGAATGCACATACTGCCGAATCCAATTTTATTTGTTCTTTACCACAAATCTTCCTCAACCCCTTCATGGAGCGCTTTATATCGAAGAATTGGAGCTCAAATGTCTTGGCATTCTTGAGGCTGGCTGGAAACATCAAACCATGTTGCCGAACAGCGCTGGTAGCTAGAAACGCGGGAACGGTTCTGGCCGACTGGCGTCATTTCTCTGGTGGCTCGAGTCGAACGGCTGTGAAATAGGGGACCTCGGAGAATGCGTGCCTTGACACTGACCACCTGCCTGACATTAGACCCATGCATGCCGGAAATGCCATGCCTGCCTGACATTAGTTCCATGCGTGGCGTCCCAGTATGTTCGAAAGTCTTTTGGGAATAATTCCGGCATGCACTCCAAATGTCTTATCTAAGAAGACTTATTGAGAAGCAGGGACCTAGCGAGCGATTATTATCAGGTTAGCCTGACACATCCAGCGACCAATCGGGGACCTATCGGTTAGCCTGACACATCCAGTTAACAAATGGCAGCAAATCCCAGAGTGCGGTTACTCAGCTCGCCTAGACAATCCGAAAGGTCCTCTCTCTTCCGAAACATTATAGTGTACAACTAGGGAGCCGGATAGTCCCCGTCTCTCACGCGAGACGCGCGATAGTAGTTACGGTTGTCTATCAGTTACGGAGTGTAGCGGATGGAATGAGCACATCCCGCTGGTTACGGCTCTAGCGCGACGCGATTCTTCACACATTACGGCTCTTCACATCCCTCTGTCACTACCCTGTACCGAGTAAGAAACATCTATGTCTCTGATTATGAACCACGCTTTCCTCACTGCTGTTTCAAACTGCTACCCTCGTTTCCCCTCCACGTCGCCCTCTTTTTCCCTCCCCGTCACCTTCCCTTTTTCAATCCGCTACCATTAACCGCCGTTAGCACGTCGTCCTAGCGCTCACACGCTCGATAGCCTTTGACTCGCGATTCTGTTAGAAAAATAAAGTCTACCTTTCAAAAACCTAATAGATATCGCCTTGGACCTTGCAGCTACGCGACCCTGCTAGGAATTAAAATATACCTTCGGGAAACCTCAAAGGTAACTCATGTAGCCCTTGATCCTGCAGCCACGGGTCTCTACTAAGCAATTCACATACCTTCAGAAATACTCACTTACAGTCAACGCATGTAGCCCTGGATCCTGCATCCACGGGACCCTGCTAAGCAACCTAGATACCTTCGGGAATACTCACATTCAACGCATATAGTTCTGGATCGTACATCTGTGGATGCACGTGGACGTAGGATTCAGGGCTAAATGCGTTGACTGTGAGTCTCTGAAAATCAGGTCCTGCTGCTAGAGCCAATCCGTACCCTACGATTGATCAGAGGTCACGCTCCCCCATCCCACTCGCTCTGTTCTTCTGTTCTACACTCTGCCCGTTTCTCGCTCCTCTGATTTCCCACTCCCTACGTTCTTGCTTTTCCATTGTCGACATATCTACCCTCTGTTTCCACCCACCCCTTCCGATTTTCCCCCTCCCTTCACTCTGTCCCTGCCCTGGTGTTCTCTGATTTGCCTGCTTCCGCCCTTCTTTACCGACCTGTCACCTCCCCAGTCACGCTGCAAACCCCTTATTAGCAGAAGACCCCCTGACAACTTTTTCCCATGGCGGAGCACGTCGAAAGTCTGGCGTTTGAGCATGCGAAATGGACCGACGTGGTATGTGGGTGGTTGCCTGGTTCCAAAAATATGCTAGCAATTTCGCAGACTGAAGAGCCTTGGCTTCCCTACTCTTTGGCAAAGATAGTTTTCATGAAGGACTTCCTTAGCAGCCAGCTATCTTCAGGAATTGGGAAATTGTTTTCATGTGAAAATCTGAGCTACAGAATGGTTAGTGAAAGTATATTTTCTGAGACTTCCTTCCCTCCCCCGCCTCCTCCCCTTGATTTCAGGAGCACTGGTCGGTGCTTAAATGCACCAAGCCTGCTGACGTCAGCAGTTCGTTGTTGGGGGTACGAGATCGGAAGGAGAACCGATGCGGCACGTGCGGCAAGAGCGCTCTGATGTGTACAGGTGAGTAACAGGGCTGCTGACGTGTACGTGTGAGTGAGCAGCGCATGTGCGCGTTCCTTCCTTCTTGGATATTCCTAAAGTGGGCTCCCATTAAGTTCCTCCGCTCCCTCCCTTCCTCGCCTCCTGTTGTGATGTGCCTCATTGAACCGTCATCTCCTGATGCACCTGCCCCTCACCTCCCCCCTCCCCCTTCTCTCATCCTCACCCTCCCCTCACACCCCCGCAGGTCATTTTGGGCACATAGCCTTTGAGATGCCACTGTACCACCCGCTGCTGCGCCCTCTGCTTGTCTCCACCCTCAACTCCTTCTGCCTTGCCTGCGGCAAGGGCTGCTCCTCCGCCTCCTCCCTCCGCCACTCGTCCACCCAAGCCCAGGTATGCTTTATTCTTAAAAAACACACAACACACACACTCTCTTAGACGTCTACTATTGTCCCCCTGTGCCTGCACTACACTGTGCCGAGTTCTGCTCTGCAATGGATAGTTTCTGGATGTCTCTCATGGTTTTATTCCCCATCTTTTTACAACAAGACGTTTTTTTCTCCCCTGTGCTTGTATCGTGCTCTCGCCCTGCAGCTGGTCTCTGGCTCCCCCTCAGCAGCAAAAGGGAGAGCGAACCAAGGAGCAGTGCAGAAGCGTCGTCGGGGGACCGAAGAGGAGGGGAGGAGGAGGAAAGGGAGAGTGAGGGAGGGGGTGGATAGGGAGAAGGGGAGAGAGAAGAGCGACGGCGTTCAGGCAAGAACGTCAGAAGCACCAGCAGTGGCGGCAGGACAAGATACAGCAAGAGCCGCTGCAGAGCATAAGCGGACAGCAGCAGAAGGAGGTGATTCAGCAGCAGCAGCGGCAGGACAAGATACAGCAAGAACCGCTGCAAAAGATAAGCAGGCTGCAGCAGAAGGAGGTGAGGCAGCAGCAGCAGCGGTAGAGGATGGAGCAGCAGCTGTTGGGGAGGAAAGCAAGGAACTGAGTGAGGACAGGGAGAAGACCGAGGAGCAAAAGGAGAAGGAGAAGAGCGAGGGGGAGGTGTTGGGAGGGAAGAGTGCGGCAGGTGATGCTGGAGAAATGGAGAATGAGGGAAACAAACGGGAAGGGATGAGAAATCATGAGGTGGTCTCACTTGTGGACTCTGAATCGCAGAGCGAGGGTGAGGGTGAGGGTGAGGATGACGATGATGATGACGATGATGATGCATTCGGGTCGACGCAGAGGCTGATCAAGGGGGACGATGCCGATGACAATGACAAGGACATGCCGTCTCCCTTTCGCAGCAAGTGCCGATCAGCTGGCTTCATTGGCCCAGTAAGCCTCCTCCCTTTGCACGTTTCTCACTGGTTTAACCCATCCTGCCTCCCCTCCCCCATTTCCGCTTTCTCTATGTTCACAACACTCCAATGGAAATCCATTCACGAGGCCAGTAAGACCCCTTGGCATGCCCCCTTGTCGCAACATCCTCTGAATCCGTAACCTGATGGTCCCACCCGTGCACGCACTTGAGCCTTTTCCTGTGTATGCCTTCCTCTGTGCCACTGTCTCTCTGGGCCCTTCTGTGCTTCAGGGTGCCAGGCGAATGCTAGCAACTCTTTCTGACGACGACGACAACGACGATGATAGGAATGATGGTGGTGGTGATGGGGACGCCGGTGGTGCTGTTCGGGGGCAGAGGGGGGTGAGAGATGGGATGCACAGAGGCAGCGGGCGTGGGAGCGTGAGCGGCAGGAGAGAGGGAAAGGGGAAGGGCGAAGGGAAGGAAAAGGGGAAGGGCGAAGGGAAGGGGAAGGAGAAGGTTGTGGAGGAGGGCGAGAGGGAGTGGAGCGAATGGGGCAAAGCGGGGCCGGGAAGAAAGGGAAAGGGGGGGCCGTTTGATGAGGACGAGGAGGAGTGGGAGGAGGGGGAGGTGGAGGAGTGGGAAGTGGAGGAATGGGAAGTGGGGGAGGGGGAAAAGGGGGAGGGAGGCGAGAGGACGGTGGAGGAGGAGGGGGGGGAGTGGGCTCCTGTGGCTGGTCCGAGCAGAGTACATGCTGGGAGTGGGGGTGAGGTGCAGGGTCAACTGGAGGAGGGTCAACCGAAGGAGGGTCAACAGGAGGAGGGTCAACAGGAGGAGGGTCAACAGGAGGAGGGTCAACAGGAGGAGGGTCAACAGGAGGAGGGTCAACAGGAGGAGGGTCAACAGGAGGAGGGTCAACAGGAGGAGGGTCAATTGGGGGAAGGTCAACAGGAGGAGGGTCAACAGGAGGAGGGTCAACAGGAGGAGGGTCAATTGGGGGAAGGTCAATTGGGGCAGAGTCAACCGGAGAGGGGTCAACAGGAGGCAGGGACGGGGGTTGGGAGTTCTCGTGCGTCTGACAGTGAAGATGACGTGGTGGAGGTGTCTGGTGGTGAGAGTGTATCTGCCTCTGGAGGGTGGGGAAGTGGGGATGGAGGAGGCAGAAATGGGGGGAAGAGTCCAAAGAAGAGCCCAAAAAAGAGCCCCAGAAAGAGTCCCAAAAAGAGGTTCAAGTCGAGTGAGGAGCAGAGGAGGAAGTGGCGCGAGTATGATGCTGAAAGGAAGAGACGGAGGCAGCTGGCTCAAGAGGCCGAGCGAGAGAGGGGAGAGGGGGCGGGAGATGGAAAGGACGCGGAGCATGGGGGAGGGGAGACGAGCAGAGAGGTAAAGATTGAGAACTGCGACGACGTGGGGCGGGCAGGAGCGTATCGGTACAGCATGCGGCCGAAACAGGCCCTCCACCGGCCGGCTGTTGTTGTGGAGGATGAGAGGCGGGCGGCGGAAGTGAGGGAGAAAATGGCAGCTGAGGCGAAGAAGAGTCCGAGGAAGAGTCCGAGGAAGAGGAGGAAAGGGGATGGGCGGAAGAGACGAGGGAGTGGAAGGGGGAAGAGGGAAGCTGTTGGTTGGGGTGCTGATGGTGGGGTGGAGGGGGATGGGGAGGAGCGGGGTGGGTCTAGCGAGAGTGAGAGTGAGGAGGAGGAGGGAGGTAAGGAGCAGGAGGAAGGGGAGGGGGAGGAGGAGGATGAGGAGGAGGAGAGGCGGATGGAGGAAGAGCAGCAGAGGCTGGAATTGCAGGCGAGGGAGGTGGAGAGGAGAGGGGTTGGGGTGAAAGGGGTGAATTGTGGGACGGGTGGGGAGCATGGAGAAGATGGGGAAGAGGAGGGTGATGAGGATGGGGGTGGGGGTGAGGAGGGATGGGAGGATGCAGGGGATGCAGCTGCTGCGAGAGAGGCGGAGGAGGAGGAGAGGAGAGGGGAGGGAGCAGAGGGAGAAGAGAGGGCAGGAGAGGAGGGAGGGAGGGAGGAGGGAGCAGAGGAGGAAGAGGAGGAGGAAGAGGAGGAGGACGAGGAGTTGGAGAGTGACCTGCTCAAGCATAGCAGGATGGGGAAGTTGTGGGAGTCCGGGGGGAAAGGGGGAGGTGAGATAGGTGAGGGAGATGCGGAGAGTGAGGGTGAGGGATGGGAGGAGGTGGGGGAGAAGCGGAAAGGGAAGGGGGCGGTTGGGAGGACAGGCAAGTTCAAGAGGAGGCGGGGCGAGAAGGACTACAGTGCAAGGGAAGGCGTGGATGGGAGAAATGATCGGAGCAGGGGAGATATGGAGAATGAGAAGAAGACGCCTTTGGAGGAGGAATGCGTTTGGTGCCAGGTTGGTGCTGGGGGCGGGAGGTAAGGGGCAGGATAAAGCAACGGTACTCCCCCTCTTCCCCTGCCCCCCTCTCCCCACCTACCCCTCACCAGCGTCGCTCCTGGTACCAAGTGGTGGACGGTTGGGGCAAGGACGGGGCACACATGCATCAACAAACAACAGCAGCAGCAGCAGCAGATGCGCCCGCCAACTGCTTTCTCTGGCTCCGCCCCTGCAGGCAGGACAAGCTGCTTCTGGGTTTCTGAGTGGCTTTTGTTTCGACTCAAAAGTCACCCTCCCCTCCCCTCCCCTCCGCTCCTCCCCATCCCCTGCCTCCCCTCACCAGCGTCGCTCCTGGCATCAAGTGGTGGACGGCTGGGGCAAGGACGGCGGCACACATGCATCATCAGCATCAACAGCAGACGCCTCCGCCAACTGCTTTCTGTGGTTGCGCCCCTGCCGGCAGGACAAGCTGCTTCTGGGGCTGTGGGCGCTGCTGGCCCAGGAGGGCCCTGCTCATCTGCTTTTCATCCTCTTCTGCTGCCCCCCGCTTCCCACCTACCCCCCTCACCAGCGTCGCTCCTGGTACCAAGTGGTGGACAGCTGGGGCAAGGAAGGCGGCACACACACATCAGCAGCAGCAGCAGCAGATGCGTCCGCCAACTGCTTTCTCTGGCTGCGCCCCTGCCGGCAGGACAAGCTGCTTCTGGGGCTGTGGGCGCTGCTGGCCCAGGAGGGCCTAGTAGGAGGAGAGATGGGGGTGGGGGGAGAGGGAGGGGATGGGGAGATCAAGGACTGCCCTCCCCTGGAGATCATGCCTTTCTGGGTAAGCCTTTTTGACCAGAAAAATAGGAGTCTATTATTGAGGCACCTTAAAAGTGGGGGTGGGGGGAGAGGGAGGGAATGGGGAGATCAAGGACTGTCCTCCCCTGGAGATCTGGCCTTTGTGGGTAAGTTTTTTATAACTCAGAATAGTAGGGGGGAAATGAAGGAAAAAGGAAGGATAGAAACCAAGAAAGAACAAAAAGAAACAGTAGGTTTGAGTTGCAGTTTGATATCTGTTTAACTCATTTGTTTGGGTGCCATGTATGTGTGCTCGCGGTGCATGTTGTGTGTGTGCGTGCGTGCGTGCGTGCGTGCGTGCATGCGTGTGTGCATGTTGTGTGCGCGTGTGTGTGTGCCTATGACAGGCTCGAGAAGTCTTTTTGAGACGTCTCAAAAACACTCTTCTTTCACGTGTGTGCGTATGTGCGTGTGTGCATGCGTGCGTGTGTGCCTATGACAGGCTCGAGAAGTCTTAAAAAAGGCCCTACATGCGAATGGGGGCCTCCAGGAAAGGGAGGAGGGGAAGGAGCGCAGTGAAAAGGGGGGAAAGGGGCAGCAGAGGGGCGTGGTGGGGGCGGTGGTGGAGGTGGGGGTGGGGCAGGGCGCGTGTGTGCCTCTGGTGAGGGCGCTGCAGGTGTGCCTTGAATCTGGAGTTGTGGGTGCATGGCCCGTGCCGCCTCATCACCTGCGCCTGTTTGAGAATGCTGACGATGAGAAACAGGAGGTGAGAGCATTGAGGAATGAACTAGTGTATGCAGCAATACTTGAGGTGGCGCTGGTGGCGCTGCAGGTGTGTCGTGGGTGCATGGCCGGTTCCGCCGCCTCACCACCTGCGCCTCTCAGAGAATGCTGACGACGAGAAGCAAGAGGTGAGCGAGTGCTGGTGGTGCGGTTGGGGATAGGGGTGGGGGTGCTGGTAGGGATGAGCAAATCATCGAACCGGGCCGGTTTTTTAGAAAACCGGTTCGGTTCTTCTCGAACCGGCCAGCTTCGGTACCGGTTCGCGGTTCGACTATCAGCCATCGAACCCTTCATTTTTGTTCGTTACAATGTGGTCCGATAGTAACCAAACTGGTTCGGACAATACAATCCTTGAACTTTATGCAATAATTCACAGTTGCCTCTGATTTATTTGGGACTCATGAAAACCAGAACGAATAATCAATTACATAGACGAACCTGGCGGTTCGACGAACCGGTTAAAAAAAAACCGGTTTGTTACGAGCCGAACCTGTCGAACCGAACTTAGGCTCGTAAGATTGCTCATGCCTAGGTGCGGGTGGGGGCAGGGGCGGGTGGATGTAAGTGTGCGGGTTGGGTGGGGGTAGGGGCGGGTGGGGGTAGGTGTGGAGGTGCGGGTGGGGATGGGCTGGGGGTGGTCGCGGTGGGTTTGCGGATGGGGGTGGGCTGGAGGTGGGGGTGGGCTGGAGGTGGGGGTGGGCTGGAGGTGGGGGTGGGCTGGAGGTGGGGGTGGGCTGGGGGTGGGGGTGGGCTGGGGGCCGTGCACCATCTGTCTGTGACTGACAACTAGAGGATGCTCACGCTTCAACTTTGCGGGCCAACCCCAAACTAAAACCCCCACCCAGACCTACCTGTCAGTGGGGCTGAGGGAAATGGTGCGATGTGACTGAATGCAGAGATAGGAGCACTCGTGCATGGCAAGGGCACGCACCCGCGTGGACAGATCAATAATCCGCTCTTCCCCCACCCCATCTCTAACACAGGTCTATCTGTCAGTGAGGCTGAGGGCAATGGTGCTACTGAACGCAGAGATAGGGGCACTCGTGCATGGAAAGGGCAAGCACCGGCGGGAGCAGCTCAATGCTCCCCTCCCCTCCTCCCCCCACTTCGCCCATCCCTTACGCAGGACTACCTGTCAGTGAGGCTGAGGGCAATGGTGCGACTGAATGCAGAGATAGGAGCACTCGTGCATGGCAAGGGCAAGCACCGGCGGGAGAAGTTTGGCAGTGCGGAGGGGGGGGCAGTGCGCTTGCATCAGATATACTGCCGGGTGAAGAGGCTTCAGGTGGAGCTGCAACACTACTTCGTGCGCCCCCCCAACCAGTACCAGGTGCGCCCTCCCCCTTTCCAGTACCAAGTGCACCCTTCTTCCCCCCCCCAGTACAAGGTGTAGAGGGGGAGGCGGTGCGCTTGCATCAGATATACTGCCGGGTGAAGAGGCTGCAGGTGGAGATGCAACACTACTTGGTGCGCCCGCCCAACCAGTATCAGGTGCGCCCCCCCAACCCCAACCAGTACCAGGTGCGATTAATTGTAGCACATTGCACTGCCCTCCTGACCAGAGCAGACAGTGCTACATGCGCTCCAATAAACAATTCGCCAGGTCAGCTGAAGAAGCTGCAGGTGGAGCTGCAGCACTACTTCATGCACCCCCCAACCAGTACCAGGTGCGCCCGTTTAGCAATGTAAGGTGCGATTCTTGCAGCCATGTAACTCTCTTGAAGCCCTTTGTCTTACGTTATGAAACTCTCCTCTTTTTCACCCCTTTCCGCCACCTAACCACGCACCCAACCACGCACCCAACCACGCACCCAACCACGCACCCAACCACGCACCCAACCACGCACCCAACCACGCACCCAACCACGCACCCAACCACGCACCCAACCACGCACCCAACCACGCACCCAACCATGCACCCAACCACGCACCCAACCACGCACCCAACCACGCACCCAACCACGCACCCAACCACGCACCCAACCACGCACCCAACCACGCACCCAACCACGCACCCAACCACGCACCCAACCACTCACCCAACCACTCACCCAACCACGCACCCAACCAGTAACCCACCGACCCTTCCACCCAACCCGCCCAGGCCATTCTGCAAGAGTCAGGGTTGGGCATAGAGCAGCGCTTCAAGGGCCACGTCTGAGATGCTACTTCTGACAGCCCTCCACTTGCTCCTCTCTTCCACCCACCCACCCAACCACAAACCCACCGACCCACCCACTCAACCCACCCAGGCCATCGTGCAAGAGTCAGGGCTGGGCATAGAGCAGCGGTTCAAGGGCCACAGCACCTCCTCCTCTGCGCGCTCCAAGGGATTCATCCGCGACGCCATCCTCGGCAAGCGCTCTGACTCCTCTGCCCGCGCCGTCATCGCACCCGATCCCTCCCTCGCGTTGCATGAGATTGGCGTCCCTGACTCCATCGCTGCTGGTCTCTTTGTTCAGGTGAGCTTTTATTCAACTTAGCTGCTTTGCGAGTAAACTCCTTGCGAAGCATATGCTCAGTCCTCTGCCCGCGCCGTCACTGCACCCGACCCCTCCCTTCTCCCTTTCCTTTCTCCTTCCGTTTTTCTCGTGCTGCCCTTCTCTCGTTGCTCTTCCCAGGAGTCAGTGTCTCATCTCAACATCGACTTCCTGCAAGCCTGCGTGGACGCAGGGCCATGCCCGCTGCCTCTGCCTCCGCCCCTTGACACCGGAGGGGAAGGGGACGCCTGTGGTGGCGGTGGTGGTGGTTGGAATGCTGGTGCAGGTGGGGATGGGGGTGTGCCTGCTGCTGCTGATGCAGGCTGGGGTGCTGGTGGTTCTGCTGATGGGGGTTGGGGTGCTGGTGGGGGTGGTGGAGGTGGGGGTGCGGCTGCTGCAGCTAATACTGGTGGGTGGGGTGCTGCTGCTGCTGATGATGATGGTGCAGGCTGGGGTGCTGCTGGTGGTGATGGTGCTGCTGATGGGGGTGGGTGGGGGGCTGATGCTTCTGCTGGTGTGGGTGAAGGGGGTGCATGGGGCAACGATGCTGCGACTGCTGGTGGGACGGGTGGTGATGCTGGTGCAGGTTGTAGTACTGGTGGGGGTGGGTGGGGGGCTGATGCTTCTTCTGGTGGGGCTGATGGGGGTGCATGGGGCGCGGATGCTGCTGCTGCAGATGCTGCTGCTGGAAGGGGTGGTGGTGGGGGGGATGGGTGGGGAGCTGGTGCTTCCGCTGGTGAGGAGGGTGAAGGGGGTGCATGGGGCACGGATGGTGCTGCTGATGCTGCTGCTGGGAAGGGTGGTGATGCCGCTGCTGAAAGGGGTGTTGCGGGTGGGACTGGGTGGGGGGCTGATGCTGCTGCTGGTGGCGGTGAAGGGGGAGCATGGGGCACAGTTGCTGCTACTGGTGCCAAGGGTGGTGATGCTGCTGTTGCTGCGGGTACTGGTGGGAATGGTTGGGGTGCTGAGGTTTCTGCTGAGGAGAAAGTGGAGGAGAAGAAGGAAGGTGAGACGAACGAGGGGGAGAAGAGTGAGGAGAGGGGTGATGGAACAGGGCAAGGAGGATGGGGAGAAGGGGAGAAAGAAGAGGGGAAGAAGGGGGAGGAGGGGGGAGCGATGCAAGGTGGATGGGGAGATGGGAAGGAGAAGGAGGATGAGGAGAAGAGAGAGGCCGCAGAGCAAGGGGTATGGGGAGAGAGGGAGCAGGGAGAGGCAGATGGGAAGAAAGTTGGCGATGAGGAGGTGAATGGATGGGGTGTTGATGCTGATACTGCTGCTGATACTGATGCTGATGCTGCTAATGGTGATGATGCTGCTATTCCCGCTAAGGATGGCGTTGATGTTGGTTCTGCGGGTGGTTGGGGTGGTAGTTACGGTGCTGCTGCTGTTGGCAACGGTGAAGGTGGTTGGGAAGGGAATGGTGGCGGTGGTGGTGGTTCTTCCAGTGGTTGGGGTGGTAATGATGGTGGTGCTGCTGCTGCTGCTGCTGCTGCTGCTGCTGCTGGCGGTAAAGCAGGTGGTTGGGGTGGCGGTAGTGGCGCTTCTGCTTCTCCAGCTGCTGCTGCTGATGCTGGTGGGGGTGGTTGGGGAGGTAGTGGTGGTGCTGGTGGTTCTGCTGGTGGTTGGGGCGGTAATGACAATGCTGCTCCTGCTGCTGTTGCTGCTGCTGCTGCTGCTGCTGTTGCTGCTGGCGGTAACGTTGGTGGTTGGGGTGGTGATGCTGCTGCTGCTGATGCTGATGCTGCTGGTGGTGCTGCCGCTGGTGGTGGTGGTTCTTTCAGTGGTTGGGGTGGTAATGACAGTGCTACTCCTACTGATGCCGCTGGCAATGGTGGTGATGCTGCTGCTGATGCTGATACTGCTGGTGGCAGTGGTGGGGATGGTTGGGGAGGGAGTGGTGGTGATGGTTCTGCCGGGGGTTGGGGTGGTGGTGACAGTGCTGCCACTGCTACTACTGCTGACGGTAATGCTGGTGGTTGGGGTGGTGCTGCTGCTGATCCTGCTGATGCTCCTGCGGCTGCTGGTGCTGGTGCTTCAGGCTGGGGGAAGAATGGGGGTGATAATAGCGGTGGTGGTTTGGGTAGTGCTGCTGATGCTTCTGCTGCTGGTGCTTCGGGCTGGGGGAAGAATGATGGGGATAATGGTGGTGGTGCTGCTGATGCTCCTGGTGCGGCTGCTGCTACAGGTTGGGGGAAAAATGATGCCGGTGCTGGTGGTAATGCTGGTGGATGGGGAGGGAACGACAGTGCTGCTGCTGCTGGTGCCAGTGGTGGTGGCTGGGGCACAGGTGGTGGGGCTTGGGGTGCAGAACCCCATGCTGCTGCAAATGGTGATGCCTGGGGGGCCACAGCCTCTGCTGCTGCTGCTGCTGCTGCTGCTGCTGGCGGTAATACCTGGGTGGCCGCAGCATCTGATACAGCGTCTGGGCGGACCTGGGGGGCCATACCTCCTGCTCCGTCCGCCCCCTCCGATCGCCGCCCTCCCCGCCCACCCAACCACGTCCTGCCACCTGTCGGTGCGTTCAGTGTGCTCGTTGGCTCCGATCCTGCTGGAAGAGCGACTGGAGGAATCGCAGGAGGAGCATCGGCCAATGGCGGCACGCCAGAGTGGATTAAGTGGACTCTGAGCCGATGGGTGGATCGTGGTTTGAGCCTGCAGGTGCGAACTGGGCCAGTCTCAGGTGCACCTGCATCAGGTCTACCTACCCCAGACGCACCTTCTGCATCAGAGCGTGCATCTGCCGCCCTTGCAGCCTTTGTGAGGTCTTCCCTGCTTGCTGGAACTGCTCCTGCTGCTGCTGCTGCTGGTGCTGCTGGTGCTGGCGGTGATGGTTTCGGCGGTGGTGGGGATGGTGGAACGGGGAGGAGGACGGTGGGGATGATGGTGCTGCGCCACGTGGCGGATGGGGATTGGCTGCTGCTCAACCGCACGCCCTCGCTGCACAAGCAGAATTTAATGGCGTTTCGGGTGCGCCGCGTGCCGGCTGCCGTCTCTGCCAACGCGCTCCTGCTCAACCCCCAGGTAAGACCATATACCATGTGGGTGAGCCTGTTGACTCGCTCTTGCACCCCCTCGCTGCACAAGCAGAACATCATGGCGTTTCGGGTGCGGTGCGCTGTGTGCCCGCCGCTGTCTCTGCCAACGCTCTCCTGCTAAATCCCCAGGTAAGACCATATCGCGTATACCATGCATGTGGGTGAGTGGTTCTTGAAACTTCTCAGATACTGCCTAAGCTACACGGTGTGGCTGCTGCTGTACCCGCATAAGCGCTCCTTCTGATTCCCCGGGTATGACCGTGTACCATATGTCTGTGGCATATGGTGAATCGACATATGTCTGTGGCATATGGTGAATCGACATATGTCTGTGGCATATGGTGAATCGACACATGTCTGTGGCATATGGTGAATCGACATATGTCTGTGGCATATGGTGAATCGACATATGTCTGTGGCATATGGTGAATCGACATATGTCTGTGGCATATGGTGAATCGACATATGTCTGTGGCATATGGTGAATCGACATATGTCTGTGGCATATGGTGAATCGACATATGTCTGTGGCATATGGTGAATCGACATATGTCTGTGGCATATGGTGAATCGACATATGTCTGTGGCATATGGTGAATCGACATATGTCTGTGGCATATGGTGAATCGACATATGTCTGTGGCATATGGTGAATCGACATATGTCTGTGGCATATGGTGAATCGACATATGTCTGTGGCATATGGTGAATCGACATATGTCTGTGGCATATGGTGAATCGACATATGTCTGTGGCATATGGTGAATCGACATATGTCTGTGGCATATGGTGAATCGACATATGTCTGTGGCATATGGTGAATCGACACATGTCTGTGGCATATGGTGAATCGACACATGTCTGTGGCATATGGTGAATCGACATATGTCTGTGGCATATGGTGAATCGACACATGTCTGTGGCATATGGTGAATCGACATATGTCTGTGGCATATGGTGAATCGACATATGTCTGTGGCATATGGTGAATCGACATATGTCTGTGGCATATGGTGAATCGACATATGTCTGTGGCATATGGTGAATCGACATATGTCTGTGGCATATGGTGAATCGACATATGTCTGTGGCATATGGTGAATCGACATATGTCTGTGGCATATGGTGAATCGACATATGTCTGTGGCATATGGTGAATCGACACATGTCTGTGGCATATGGTGAATCGACATATGTCTGTGGCATATGGTGAATCGACACATGTCTGTGGCATATGGTGAGTCGACACATGTCTGTGGCATATGGTGAGTCGACACATGTCTGTGGCATATGGTGAATCGACACATGTCTGTGGCATATGGTGAATCGACACATGTCAATGGCATATGGTGAATCGACACATGTCTGTGGCATATGGTGAATCGACACATGTCTGTGGCAAATGGTGAATCGACACATGTCTGTGGCATATGGTGAATCGACATATGTCTGTGGCATATGGTGAATCGACACATGTCTGTGGCAAATGGTGAATCGACATATGTCTGTGGCATATGGTGAATCGACACATGTCTGTGGCAAATGGTGAATCGACATATGTCTGTGGCATATGGTGAATCGACATATGTCTGTGGCATATGGTGAATCGACATATGTCTGTGGCATATGGTGAATCGACATATGTCTGTGGCATATGGTGAATCGACATATGTCTGTGGCATATGGTGAATCGACACATGTCTGTGGCATATGGTGAATCGACACATGTCTGTGGCAAATGGTGAATCGACACATGTCTATGGCATATGGTGAATCGACATATGTCTGTGGCATATGGTGAATCGACATATGTCTGTGGCATATGGTGAATCGACATATGTCTGTGGCATATGGTGAATCGACATATGTCTGTGGCATATGGTGAATCGACATATGTCTGTGGCATATGGTGAATCGACATATGTCTGTGGCATATGGTGAATCGACATATGTCTGTGGCATATGGTGAATCGACACATGTCTGTGGCAAATGGTGAATCGACACATGTCTGTGGCAAATGGTGAATCGACACATGTCTGTGGCATATGGTGAATCATATGGTGAATCGACATATGTCTGTGGCATATGGTGAATCGACATATGTCTGTGGCATATGGTGAATCGACACATGTCTGTGGCAAATGGTGAATCGACACATGTCTGTGGCATATGGTGAATCGACACATGTCTGTGGCATATGGTGAATCGACACATGTCTGTGGCATATGGTGAATCGACACATGTCTGTGGCATATGGTGAATCGACATATGTCTGTGGCATATGGTGAATCGACATATGTCTGTGGCATATGGTGAATCGACACATGTCTGTGGCAAATGGTGAATCGACATATGTCTGTGGCATATGGTGAATCGACACATGTCTGTGGCAAATGGTGAATCGACATATGTCTGTGGCATATGGTGAATCGACATATGTCTGTGGCATATGGTGAATCGACATATGTCTGTGGCATATGGTGAATCGACATATGTCTGTGGCATATGGTGAATCGACATATGTCTGTGGCATATGGTGAATCGACACATGTCTGTGGCATATGGTGAATCGACACATGTCTGTGGCAAATGGTGAATCGACACATGTCTATGGCATATGGTGAATCGACATATGTCTGTGGCATATGGTGAATCGACATATGTCTGTGGCATATGGTGAATCGACATATGTCTGTGGCATATGGTGAATCGACATATGTCTGTGGCATATGGTGAATCGACATATGTCTGTGGCATATGGTGAATCGACATATGTCTGTGGCATATGGTGAATCGACATATGTCTGTGGCATATGGTGAATCGACACATGTCTGTGGCAAATGGTGAATCGACACATGTCTGTGGCAAATGGTGAATCGACACATGTCTGTGGCATATGGTGAATCATATGGTGAATCGACATATGTCTGTGGCATATGGTGAATCGACATATGTCTGTGGCATATGGTGAATCGACACATGTCTGTGGCAAATGGTGAATCGACACATGTCTGTGGCATATGGTGAATCGACACATGTCTGTGGCATATGGTGAATCGACACATGTCTGTGGCATATGGTGAATCGACACATGTCTGTGGCATATGGTGAATCGACATATGTCTGTGGCATATGGTGAATCGACATATGTCTGTGGCATATGGTGAATCGACATATGTCTGTGGCATATGGTGAATCGACATATGTCTGTGGCATATGGTGAATCGACACATGTCTGTGGCATATGGTGAATCGACACATGTCTGTGGCATATGGTGAATCGACACATGTCTGTGGCAAATGGTGAATCGACATATGTCTGTGGCTGTGTATGCAAACTCGCGTACACATACTCACAGATGATTTTGTGCATGCCCCTCTGTCCGTCCCGCTTCTCCCTCCTCTCTCGTTCCCTCCCCTCTCTCCCGCCCTCCCTCTAACCAGGTTTGTGCAGCGATAGCAGGCGATTTCGATGGAGACGAGGTGAACGTGTTCACGGTGCAACAGAGCGCCGTGGCAGCAGAGGCTGCAGAGCTCATGCCCGTCGACAAACAGCTCTTCCCCTCCCTCCCCCTTCCGCCACTCCCGCCTCCGCCGCTCCCTCCAACTCCTCCTCCCCCTGAACCTTCCCTTCCTCCCTCGCCTGGTCCCTCGTCGCCTCATCCCGCTACCACCTCACCAGCAGCAGCTGCTGCTACCTCCTCCCGCTCCTCCACCCGTTGCTCTTGCCACCCCTCCTCCTCCTCCTCCCCTTCCTCCTCTTCTTCTCCTCACCCACATGGCCCCCACCACGACCCGGCGGTAATGTCTCTCCAGCAGGACGCGCTGCTGGGTTTGCACATGCTCGCCTCCCCTCCCCCCTCTTCCCAAACGCTCTTTCTCTCCCGCCCAGATGCCACCCAGCTGGCCCTGCACGCGTGGGAGGGCATGGGGCTGGTGACTGAGGGAGGGGGAAAGGGGGATGGCTGGAATTGGAGCAGCAGGCGGGGAAGGAGGGGTGGAAGAGAGGGGAGAGGGGGAGCAGGAGGGGGAGGGGAAGGTGAGGGAGGAGGAAGGGTGATTGCTGTTGTGGATGATAAGGAGTGGGGACGGGAACTTGAAGAGGGGACGGCACGAGGAGAGGACGAAGTGACGGCAGCAGCAGCAGGAGTAGGAGCAGGAGCAGGAGCAGGAGCAGCAAGAAAGAACCCCTATTTTCCTCTCCCACCACCAGCTATTCTAAAATACCCTCTTCCAGCCAGCAGCAGCAACAGCAGCAGCCACCATTCCCCTCCCCCTGCGCCCCCTCTCTGGACCTCCCTTCAGCTGCTCTCGACTGTAATCCCGCCCTCCCTGTGCTTCCAGCACCGCGGGTGCGGCGTGCGGGTGCATCAGGGGGAGGTTGTATTCGTGAATGAGCATGGGCGCATGGGGGTGGAAAAGGGTGCGAGGAGGTGTAAAGGGGTGCGCAGGGAGCAGAAGTGTGAGGAGGAGAGTGGAGGATTAAAGGTGGTTATGGAGGAGGATGAGGAAGGAGAGGAGGACAGTGAGGAGCGAAGGGAGGGTAACAAAGAGGAGGAGGTGGAGGTGGGGGAGGAATCGCGGTGGCTCAGGGGGGGCAGCGACGGCCTGCTGGCCACCATCTGGCAGCACCATCCGCCAATGGCGGCGCGCCACCTGGCGGGCGTGCAGGCACTGGCGGTGAATTATTTGACATCAATCGCCGGCTTCAGTGCCGGCCTCTCGGATTTCTGTGGCCTGCCTGTTACTGCTGCTGCTGCTGCTGCTGCTGCTGCCAGTGCCTCCTGTGGCCTGCCAGTGTCTGCCGCTGCTGCCAGTGCCTCCTCCTCTGCTTTCTGTGACCTGCCTGCCTCCACCTCTAACTCCGCTCCGCCTCCTCCTGCTCCTGCTCCTTCTCCTTCCCCTGCTCCACGGCTCTTCTCGCGGGCCTCACCCTTGTTCCCGCGGGGCAATGCGGTGAGGGAGATGGTGGGGGCGGGCAGCAAGGGCTCGCCCAAGGTGATTGCCCAGCAGGTTCAGCCTCAACACACAGAGATGCCCCACAGCCCAACCCTCTCCCTGCCACATTTTCCTTATGTCCTCGATCCGATTCAGCTGAAGCTCTTCACTCCAAAATCAT